CTAAAGTTCCTCCATGTACTATGGCTTTTTGAACCCCAAATAAGAAACCACTATTAGTAAGTATTTAGCAAGTAATTAACCAAGGGAATATACATACCTTGTCTTGGCTCCGAAGCCAGATCGGTCACAATTAGAGAGGTGACCATGTTCTCACAGGCTGGTTGAAGAGCTCAGTGAGTGAGGTATTGACCATGGTGGCAGAGGTTGGGAGTTCAGTTCTTCACTGTGCTTCCTGAAGAGCCAGCCTGTGTAGCCTTAGGCAAGCTGCACAGTTGCAGGATTTCCCAAGAAGAAGGGAATGGTATATCACTTCTCAGTACTCTCTGCCTAGAGTGGCCATTTTGACCAGATAGGCGGGGTACAAATAGAATAAATACATAAATAAAATAGAAAGTGTCACCATATGTCAGAATTGACTTGATTACATAGGATTACTATTATGTTCCAAATATCACATGGCTTTCTTGATTAATTTGGATGAATCATGGAGATCCATGATAGTGCAATAAAAAGAATCGTCCATGTTCAATTTGTAGCATCTGCAGGTAGAACTAGGAAAAATTACTGCCTGAAACCATGGAAGCTGCTACCAGACAGTGCAAGCAACACTGAATTGAATGAACCAGTGGTCTGATTCTGTATTCATTTCCCCTGTGCTTCCCTTTCTATTATTATAAGCTTTACTGGGCAGTTTTTGAAACAGGGAGAATATATATCAATTTCTCTTACAACAATTAGAACATACATATTTATATTAGTGGACCTTTGGAATGGCATCCAGACAGGTCTCTGGGTGAATCAATTAGTTCCATCAATTAGTCAATCTAAACTCTTGCAGTATGGATTTTTGAGCAATCATGATTTAATAAAACTATGTATCAACATGATGTCATCATACGTTATTTGTATGACTGTTATCTGTGATTCGGTCAGAACAAGCTCATTTGGGTTACTGTGACTGAGTCAGGGACCAAGCTTGATAGGGCATTATGGGACCTGTTGTCCAAAAAAGGTAAATTCCTATCTCTGCCATTTTTATGTTCAGTGTTTGTTATGGTATTCTGCCGGAAGAAATATGCTTCAAGAAGCCATTCTCCAAGAGGGCAACTCACTGGTACACATTCAGATGGTGAGTGTCCCAGACATCAGAGGTCTGGGAAACTCCCTTTCCTTTGGGGGTGTGTGACTCTTACCAACAAGAGTGAGGTTCACAGTTTGGGTATACATCTGGACCTAGCACTCACCATGGAGACCCAGGTGTCATCCATTCTGCACATTTCCACCTTTGGCGGATTGCACAGCTGCATCCCTATCTTGATGTGGGGGCGCTCACCACTTTGGTCCATGTGCTTGTAGTCTCAAGATTATTGTAATGCGCTCTACGTGGGGCTGCCTTTGAGACAGATGCAGAAACTTTAGATGGTATGAAATGCAGCGGCCAGACATCTTACAGGGGTGAAAAGGTACCAACATATTTCCCCCATGCTGGCCACCTTCCATTGGCTGCCCATTCATTTCCACATTGATTTCAAAGTTCTTACGATTACATATAAAACCCTAAATGGTTTAGGACCTCAATATCTGGCAGAGCGCCTTTTCCCACCCAGTTCTGCCAGAGTCACTCATTCCAGGGAGGCCGGGCAGCTGAGGGGCCTAACACCAGGGGAGGTCCAGAAGGAAAGAACGAGGAACAGGGCCTTCTCGACAGTGGCCCCTTGAGAACAACTTGCCAGTGGAGATCCACCTGGGTCCCTCTCTGGGTGTTTTCAGGAATAAACTTAAAACCTGGCTATTTGGGCAGGCTTTCCCGCCTTGTGGCGCAGTGGTTAAAACGCTGTACTGCAGCTAAAACTGTGCTCACGACCTGGGGTTCAAATCCCAGGTAGCCGGCTCAAGGTTGACTCAGCTTTCCATCCTTCCGAGGTCGGTAAAATGAGTACCCAGCTTGCTGGGGGGGCAATGTGTAGCCTGTATAATTTAAAAAATTGTAAACCGCCCGGAGAGTGCTTGTAGCACTATGGGGCGGTATATAAGTCCAATAAATAAATAAATAAATAAATATTAATTTCTTATAATTTCACCACCTTGGATCTATAATATATGATACATACATACATACATACATACATACATACATACATACATACATACATACATACATACATACATACATACATACATACATACATACATACATACATACATACATACATACATACATATTTTGTCATATTTAGAATTGGGTCCATTGAAATAAGACACCAAAGTTAACCAGGATTAACTCAGGAGTAGGTCATTTAAATCAATTATATTTAAGTTCATCGTTTTGCACGTAAAGCCTTATTAATTTCAACAGGCTTACCATAAGGTATGGCTGAATCAACTAAACCACTGTATTAATAATCCAAGAAGAAATCAAAAATCCGCCAGCCTTCCCACTTTCTTCATGGAACAGGACTGGCTATTTTTTGCTGCTGCCCCTCATCTAGGCCTTGCAAAGCCTAGGTTGCTAGCTGTCCTCATTGCTCAGAGATTGTATGAAAAAGATAAAGATTTCCAATTTTGGCAGAAGGACCCTAACTGTTAAGAAGAGCAAAAACCTGGTGAAATCGGTAATTGTTGGTCTAAGGAATTGGTTCTGTCCAGCTGGTTCAGAAAGACATTTATTAGGGCTTGGGGAAAGTGACATTATTAAAGTGAGCATGCTGATTTCAGACAGCTCCCAATTCATCACTCTGACAGTGACAAACGCAGCCTGAGGTTAAGCAAATGACTAGAGAGAATTCTCTGGCTTTACATTTTTAATGCTTGCCGCATTTTCTGGGCTGCAGAGGGTTCTATTCAAAGGATCCTCTCCCCTGAATAGAAAGGGCAGAGCTGGGCCATGAAACATGCTTGGATTTTGCAAATCAAGTCGGGTTTCTGTCAGTCGGCTATCATGAGTTCATTTATTTTTTAATTTTTCCTCACTCCTTAAAATATCCTTTTTTCCCATTTGCAAAAAGAACAGAAGCATTTGACTCAGCTGTGCAGCCGCTGTTCTTTCTGGCTCATTCATCATTGTCTGCTTCCTGAATGGAAAGTAGAGGGTCAGTTTTAAAAGGCTCCAAGCTACAAGCTTTCCTAAATACAGCAATAGCTCCCTAATGGAACTGGGAGTCTTGGCACTCAGACCACCCAGGACTCCTGACAAGAAAATGTGTTCCAGATAGTTTACTATACTCCCTTTGCTTCCCCCACTGCCTTTATCACAAGAGTCATACTACAATACAAGTTGTTTATTGGCCCTACCACATCTTGTCTCCTAATACCACCATGACATTGAATCACTGGGACGTATTTCATATGGGGCTGCCCTTGGAAACACTTCCACTGGGCTGGAACATGGCTATCTGAGTTTTGACAGGAGCGAATAGATCAGGGACCATCATTCCTATACAGTATTGTATCCATTACAATGGCTTGGGGAAAGCTGCTAGCATTGAACTACAAAGCTCTAAATGCCTTGAGGCCAGGGTACCTCCAGACATTTTTCCTCTTATATGACCCTATACAATAACTCTGCTCCATTAATGGAGCCCCTTCTTCATGTTCTCTTGCTACCTGCAGTGCAATAAGTAGGTAGATGGCAGAGAGCCATCTCAGTTGCGGCATCTGGACTCTGGAATGATTCACTGTGGAATGATTCAACTGACATCCCCACCAGAACTTGGAGACATTACATATTTTGAGGTTTCAACTCCATGAGCCTTTTGACTAGCATGACCAATGGCCTGTTGGCTGGAACATTCCGGAAGCTGCACTCCCCAAAACTAACTTTCTCATGCTCTGCCCTCTAAAATGCCTGTGTTCTGATGAGGAAAATGACAGAGAGTTTTCTTTCAACACACATTTAAATAGCCCCTTTTCTCCTATGAATATTTTCAAATACTGCCATTTATCATTTAATTGTTTAGGTAGCCCATTTGCCACGTGTTGCGTATTTTAGCAGTGCAATGAGCAGCCCTAAGTCCACTTGTTTGGAGACAGTCAGGGCAGGCATATATGTCTTTTAAAAAAGAAAGAAAGAAATGTTTAGCAACATTTACCATATGCTGCTTCAGGTTCACAGGCATTTAGTTATATGCCACCCCATGAGAGATTTCTCTGGGCAAGTTACACTAACGTCAATACAAACATTTCAGTTCAGCTCACAAAAACTCCAGCAAAAGATAATGCAGTTAATTAACATGCCAAAATACAATATATTGACACTCAGTGCAAAGAAGCATTTCTGACATAATTAAAATAAGAAAGCCATCCATTTAGAACTTTCAAAGATTTTTAAAAGGCATGGGAAGACTGCACACCTTCACCTGTTCCAAGACAACAAAGAAAGAGCCAGATGAAAATCTCAGTGAAAACATTTAATTAAAAGGGCATCAGAAAGGCCCTCTCTTCAGTAGCTACCTGCCTGCCCCTCCCTAGGTGGGGCCAATGACTGGACCATCTGAAATCTGGCAGGCTGAAATATAAGAAAGATGGATGTAAAGTGCATAGTACCATCAAATAGAAGCAATGGCATTTTCAGTCCAAATGCAAATGTTTTCAAATGTTTACTTTGATTATTATTTTGTTATATCAACGTTTATACAACATAACCACAAACGTTTAAAGATACACAAATAGAAGAAAGCTATGACAAAAAAGTGTATTATTAATTTACACATGCACAGACAAAATATCATTGGTTATTAGATTTAGGTAGTGAATTGAGCATTCAAACTTAAGCAACACTCCAGAAACTGAAGGAATGAGGTACCAGAATTGTGATTTTCTGACATTTCTTATGGCTCTTTTCCCTTTACTCTGCTTTGTTCTTTTTATAGTGTTTTGAGTTTGCAAAAGCCATAACTTGCTGTCGTTTTAAAATTCAAAGTTGAGATATGGTAGGAGGAGAGTAGAAATACAGCTGCTAGCAATTTAAAGAAATATTGTCTTTGTAAAGATGCATTTTCTATTTTTCTTGTCATCCTGCAGCAGAGCTTGATGCTGATTAAGGTATTATTCTTACACATTCTAGCAACACAATCTACCTAGAGAACACTTCCATTGCAAAATTGCAGGTAAAGAAAGAATGAGTTTGCTTTGTGGCTGCATAGCTAGCTCTTAGACAGCTTCTTTTGGCTGAACTTTGCTCTCTCCCAGCCGTTACCTCAGAAAACCCTCTTACACGCATAGAATAAAAGCAACCAAGAGACGTACAGAGAGATGGCAGTCTGCTCACAAACCTTGCAGACAGGAGTGCTCATTAAAGAGTCTCTCTGGGTCATTGTTTTCTGAGTCTCAGAGGAAGCATCAGGGGCCTTATTTAAACCAGCAGTCAGGCAGACAGGTATACAGAAACCTGTCAAATGAAGCTGGTGGTGCAGTGGGGGCGGATGGGCTGGCAGGGAGACTGTGTAGCTGTAGAAGTGAATTAAACAGCCTGTGCATTTCTGCTGCTTATCTATACTGGAGCTGCTTTGTTCTAAAGTCCGGGTCTGTCACTGCAAAAGACAAGGTCAGGCTGAAGGGGAGAGGATAAGCTAGCCTCCTCTGGTTCCCAGGTTACTGTATGGGAGGGATGCAATTTTCATTGCCATGTGGAACTGACTGTTCTGAGGTGCTGAAAGGTTCTTTAATGAATGTCGAGCGGCTCTGTTTGAAGTTGGAAGGTCAGTCAAATATTGCCTGTAACCTTGGAGGGCTTAATCATGCCCCAAGTGCTAGCAGAGCTATTGAAAAGCATCCATCTCAAATGGGATTTTGGCTTTTGCTTTTCCTTTTTTCATCTGGCTGAGATAATTCACAGATTGGAATGTTTCACTTCAGTGGGGGTAGGAACTGCAAAGGGCGGGACAAACACAGAGACGCCATTTGGGCTCATTATGTTTGCTTTTGCTTCGCAACCTTTGTGCCAGCCAAAGAATGCTTAGGAGTTTGCTGTAGTCTCTAAGACCACCACAACCATTTCTGGCTCTAGATAGTTTTGCCTCATATTTTTTTAAATGTTCATTAAAAAACAAAAAAAGAAATGAATTCAAGAAAATGGTGCCTCCTCTGGAACCTGCGTCTGTTTCCACATCCACAAGCTAGGAACAGACAGAGTTGGCTACTGTCTGTCCTATTTATAAAATCAGTGCGAAGAGGCTATAAGCGAGATAAAAATCAAGTCTCAGGTAAGCATGGTTCAATGTAGCCTCCTTCACTGCGTATAAATATAACGCTTGCCAGATTGTGATGGTGATTCTGATAGAGAGTCTACGTAATAACGCTGCTGTTCAGAAATACATGATTTTTTTTTTGCTACCCCCTTGTCTTGAATAATTTGCTATTTTGATACTAGCATATAGTAGTGTGTATTTTTAGATTTTAAGATGTTCAGAATCCTTAACATGCTTTAGTATATTGCTAGGAGCCCCTGTGGAGGTGTCACTTTATCCTTAAACTATTTGTAGTATGGGGGACCAAGCCTTGACTCATATGATGCAAAGAAGCCACATCAGGAAGCAGGACATTATTCTCCCTCTAAAAGTAAGAGCAGCAGGACAGAAGCAGGACAAACAAACCTCTCATAACGTGAAGACATGGTCACACGATCACATTTCTGAATCCATACTGCATGAAGGTGATATCATAATCTCAGTTTCCCATAGCATCCAAACCAGAATTAAATCCAAAGTAAGCAGGGGAACACTATTATAGGAAGCTACCACCTGCACTGATCCTTTATGTTTGTGAAAAATGTTCAGTAATGAATATATAATAAAGCATATGTGTGTAACAGGGTTTATCCAAATTTTAATACACAACTCCTTCCTTTGGAAAATAATGCTATATGCCAAACATGGTGCTTGAGATAGAACCCAGAGATGGGAAGCAATGAATTAAAGTAACCTATAGAGTTAAATTTGTGTGTGTGTGGATAACAAGCATAATGGAGATTGTTTTTTTTTTTTTTCAAAATTAAAGGTTATAGCAACATTTGCTCTTTTGGTGTAATGAATAACATTGTAATTGTTTTAAAATGATTTAAAAAGAGAAATATTAGATTATTTTAATAGGATACTTTTCATGTTTTAGGCCACTGGTTCTTAACCTTGGGTTACTCAGGAGTTTTGGGCTGCAACTCCCAGAAGCCTTCACCACCAACTGTGCTGGCTGGGGTTTCTGGGAGTTGCAGTTCAAAAGCATCCAAGTAACAAAGGTTAAGAACCACTGTTTTAGGCCATTGTCTTTTAAATGAGTGATGATGTTTGAAGACTGAGTGAACAGTGAACACTGGTGCCAAGTGTAGGGGATGAAAAGGAGAAAAAAGATGCAACTGATCAGTGACAAAACTTAGCTGCATAGATTGCTAGCCACTATGTTTAAAGACTGCCAATTTGGCACTTTTCAGATATGTTGGATACAAATTCTGTCATCCTCAGATAGCAATCAGATTGTGGGATACCGTATATACTCCTTGAGAAGCCTTTTGAAAGAACCAACAACAGAAATGTAGCAATGCTATTAACGAAAATATTATATGCCATTTTCTCTGACAGTCCTGCAGTTTCCAATTTTAATGGCAATGATTCATACAACAAATGAACTTGTTAACAAATTTCCCCATCCAAAATTAACAGATTAGACTTTTAAACTCACTTAAAACTTGATGAAATATGTAAAAAAAATTTCAACTAAGGTTCCATTCTCAGCTACAGCTTAACATTTTAAGAGTCTTATGCTCTACCATCTCAACTAGCTAGGCCTTGCTGATGAAGAGTGAAAGCCAGTAATCAGTGAGTGGCTTTGCATCTACAACAATACCACAGATATACCATGTGAATCATTAGACCACAAGTGGAAACAGTGAGACGGAATAGCAGAGATGAGGATAGGTAAAGGTAAAGGTTCCCCTTGACAATTTTTGTCCAGTCATGTTCGACTCTAGGGGGCGGTGCTCATCCCCGTTTCCAAGCCATAGAGCCAGCGTTTTGTCCGAAGACAATCTTCCGTGGTCACATGGCCAGTGCGACTTAGACATGGAATGCTGTTACCTTCCCACCGAGGTGGTCCCTATTTATCTGCTCACATTTGCATGCTTTCGAACCGCTAGGTAGGCGGGAGCTGGGACAAGCAACGGGAGCTCACTCCGTCGCGTGGATTCGATCTTACGACTGCTAGTCTTCTGACCCTGCAGCACAGGCTTCTGCGGTTTAGCCCACAGCGCCACCACGTCCCAGAGATGAGGATAAGTCAGTGCTAAATCCCTGATAACTGAGCTGCAAGGACTCATTAAGCACAAAAATGCTCACATTTTACAAGGATGACTTTCTTACATGTGGATAGCATCAGATGTGCATTGTCTTCTCAAGAACCTAAGAAGTTGCCCTTTACTGGGTCATTCCATTTCTCAGCCTAACATCATCATGAAAGTGACTTCTCCAGTCTCAGGTTGCAAGGCTGACCCTACCACTAAGGAGAGAGAGGTGGTTGCCTTAGATAGTAAATGATAAAAGTGGCAACAGGCATTTAGGTGGCTTTCGTCCATGTTTTACCAATGAAGTATGGTTCCCTTCCACAGCACTGAGTTCTAGATGTGGACCTCAGATTCATTCTGGAAGAAGGTCTGTAGTTACTAATTGTACTAGCAATTTGGAATATTTCTCTAAAATGTCCCCAAAAGATGTTCTGTTTGATAGATGAAGTGGGGAAATTCAACCTTCTCCTCTCTTCTCCTTCTGTGTAGGTTTCATTTGGATGTTGCTGTCCCTTGCCCTCCTAGGGGATGCCCCAGTTCACCTTTGCTTGCTTTTGTGGACTCCATGGGTTCTGCAATATGAAGAGGAAAAAGGAAGATGCCAATGCTGAGCAAGAAACTGCTGTCTGAGAGAAGAAGGCACATCATTTTTGTACCACCTTCAATCAGTCTATTGTATTGGAGTAATTAGGTATGGTATTATTATCTTTTTAAGCTCCTTTTCTTTGAATTCTCTTTTCCAGAAAACTCTTCTGTCCACTTACTAGACTAATGAATGGGACATCCAACAACACCTCTGTTTATTTTATTTTTTTAACATGACCCCCCCATACAGATGTCTAGATTAGATTAAGGCTGTGTCAAAGTAAAGATGTGCATCCTGTGGCAGTGGTGGGGTGTCTTCATGCTCTTTAAAAACTAAAGAGCTCTGACTCCATAATTAATAATAAATATTAATGATAATTAACAAGCTAGTTTTCTCCAGTTTTATCTACAGTCAAAAGTTGTTTTCTTTGGCAAAAGCTTGGCCTCAGAATCTGAGGTTAATTCCGAATGAGTCTGCACTTCAAAGACAGCCATAATGCGCCAGTCAAGACAAAATTTGAATTAATGACTTAGTCTACTTAGAGCCAGGATGTTTATGTAATCAGCACTTTGAAAGTTCATTACCTGTGGCATGATCATGTTGAAGGTTCCTTACCTGCATCTGGAGCCCACTTAACACCATCCCAACTCCCCAAATCACATTAAAAGTATATACAAATCTGTGGCATAAATGTTGTTCCCCAAGAGTTTCAGGAACTACACTGGAATCCACAGAAGCTCACACTGAAATACATCTGTTAGTCTTTGAAGGGTAAACAATTTTTTATTTTTTTATTTTTTATTTATTTATTTATTTATTTATTTATTTATTTATTTATTTATTTATTTATTTGCTATACATACTGCATATAGAAGTTTACTCTGAGGACAAGAAATAACCACATGCAACTCACTGTCCTTCCATACAAAGATCCAGTCCTGGTTACCCTAAGTGTTCCTCATTTCAGCAGTACAATTTTATCTCGGGAGTCATTTTGTTGCTGCTACTGTTAAATAGGTGGGAATGTGAAATCCTGATCCATTACAAATCATTCAGTAATCCTGATCTACCCTCTGCCCACCCTGTGCTAGAGACCCCAAAGGGGAAGAATCTAACTCTGTGGTCAAACAGAGACACTATACTCCTCTTTCCAGCTTCCCCATGGAGCTTGATGGATTAGCACAGAAAGATACATTGGCAGGAAGAGATGAACCCTCTACATGAATGATAGCCTCTCTTATCAGCGTCGGCAGTGGGGAAAATAGAATGTAGAAGATGTTAATCTGCTTTATTACATTTATTTCTCTCTTTTCCTGTTCTTTGCTAGAGACTTTACAGGCCCAAAATACAGATGTCTGTGTGAAAAGAGGAACAGTCGCTAGAAATCCAGAAGCTGGTTGGCAAAATAGCATTTCAGCAAAGCAGGCTTTTCCTACTTTGAATCACCCTCAGCCTTAGAGACTTTGAATATTGAAGACCCATAAGATTCTGCTAATTTGTTGAGGTACAGATTTATGTGTCCCTGTTCATTTGTTTGTTAATTTTGTAAGAAAGCTATCAGCTATATCCAAAAATGGGAGTCAATTCCCTGTTCCCACCTGCTGCAATCAAAAATTATCAGATCTACAACATCTATTTGACCCCCCAAAAAAATCTGTATACAACTTGCAAGTACAGCTTGTGACATCATATCTCGTTTAGTTCTTACCTTCTAAAAGTGTCAGCACCCGCTTTTCAAATTATCCAATGGTTCTTTTTCTTCTGTTCTGGAAAATGCAGTTCCATATTTATTTTAAGTGCTGGGCACAGAAACTTTACTCTGGGATGAGGATAATCTGTATGCAGATACTAATTTCTCCTCCAAGAAAAGGGTACAGATTTTGTTTAAAAAAACCCAAAAAGTATTTTGTCACCTTCTACTTTGTAGACTGCTTCCTACTTCATTATTGGCATCTGAAACCCCCACTTCCATGGCAGTAAAAAATACCTTTTAGAACAAAGTAAATAAACAACATTTGCTACCTTTTTATGACTCCAAAATCTATCTAAGGGTTCACTTATCTGCGTACCGATAAGGCTGGATCTGGAAAGCAGTACTGTATCTAGTCAAGCCATTATGTAATATGCTTGGTATGTGGAAGAATGAGTTAATCTAATCCTTGGTGATCTCAGTGTTGCTCTGCAGTCAGTGGGGAAAGATTATCTAGAGTGTTGCCACTAACCAAATCTTCCAACTTCTGTGTTGTGCAAACTTTTGCACAGTGAATTTATACCATCACAAAGTTCTTCACTAGTGCTACATCTGTTGTGTGGCATGTTCTTTGGTTACCTCTTGGCTCACACAGGAACTGATCAGCAGCTCTTAAACTCTCTCTAGGCTCAGATAAACCAACATGTCAGGGTGCCTGAGACTGGGATGTAATTTTAATACATGATGTTTGGGCTGTTTCCAGTATTTTGACATCCTGAGGTCACCATCTGATTAATGTCACTAGCCATTATTCTGCAGAGCATAAGAGATTAGCTTTGAATGGGATCTTGCCTTGGACATATAGAATGAGCTACTTTGCATGGCATGTCCAATTCCTCCTGCTAAACTCCCTTAGCTGTTTGTACATCTTTGTATTTCTGCTAATAGTCCAGGCTTTCACCAGAGCAGAAATGCTGTATAATGTAGTGAGCTGCTCTTCCCCCATGCACACATCTTTGAGGGGGGGTAGCAGTTTAACTTCCCATGAACTACACAATGATGGCTTTATTTTCTCATTCCATGAGGGTAACGTGAAATCTCTCTCCAGCAATGATAAAGAGTTGAGCCGATTTGCTGTTGGTTTATTTTTCTTTCTTTCTTTCTTTCTTTCTTTCTTTCTTTCTTTCTTTCTTTCTTTCTTTCTTTCTTTCTTTCTTTCTTTCTTTCTTTCGTTCGTTCGTTCGTTCGTTCGTTCGTTCGTTCGTTCGTTCGTTCGTTCGTTCGTTCGTTCGTTCGTTCGTTCGTTCGTTCGTTCGTTCGTTCGTTCGTTCGTTCGTTCGTTCGTTCGTTCGTTCGTTCGTTCGTTCGTTCGTTCGTTCGTTCGTTCGTTCGTTCGTTCGTTCGTTCGTTCGTTCGTTCGTTCGTTCGTTCGTTCGTTCGTTCGTTCGTTCGTTCGTTCGTTCGTTCGTTCGTTCGTTCGTTCGTTCGTTCGTTCGTTCGTTCGTTCGTTCGTTCGTTCGTTCGTTCGTTCGTTCGTTCGTTCGTTCGTTCGTTCGTTCGTTCGTTCGTTCGTTCGTTCGTTCGTTCGTTCGTTCGTTCGTTCGTTCGTTCGTTCGTTCGTTCGTTCGTTCGTTCGTTCGTTCGTTCGTTCGTTCGTTCGTTCGTTCGTTCGTTCGTTCGTTCGTTCGTTCGTTCGTTCGTTCGTTCGTTCGTTCGTTCGTTCGTTCGTTCGTTCGTTCGTTCGTTCTTTCTTTCTTTCTTTCTTTCTTTCTTTCTTTCTTTCTTTCTTTCTTTCTTTCTTTCTTTCTTTCTTTCTTTCTTTCTTTCTTTCTTTGGTACACAAAGATGAAAAACTAGGATAGATTTTAATTCATCTTTGTCAGGTACTGACAGATGATGTTGCTGTAGGAGATCCCTGAGTTGTTTCAAACCTGTAACTCTAAAGAGCAGTACAATAATGGGCTGAATCCACAGTATGGATTCATTTGGCACTCAGTCGTCACTCTCATTGAATCAGTCCAAAATGATTGTGGAAGAAGACCTCCCCCCCCCCGTCCTTTCTTTCTCTTTTTCTTTCTATTTATTGCCATGGAGTTGAAAGAAGATACTCTAACTAATTCTAAGATACACAAACAGTAGCCTAGGGGAATAACCTAAGACATCCAACATTGGATTCAGTCTGGTACACATTGTACATCAGAGCATGTACTTTTGATGGCAGAAGTCTATGCATTCTTACTTTGGAGTAGGTTCTGCTAGAATTGAGTGGAATTCCCCTCTTACTCATAATAGCAGGCTATGTTTGTCTTACTTTTTCTCAAAAGCACCCAAACTGTTCTTCTACCACATTTTAATTCCAACTTATGAGAGTCTCATGTCTGTATAACAGGTGGAGAAATAACCTTGTTGATATTAACATTTTGTCTTTTTAAAATAACTTTTGCTATATGTACTGCATTGTCTGAGGAGAGGTATGCCAGCCAATAGGCATCTGTCATTGCTGGCTCTTCCATAGTTCAGACTGAAGTGCTGCACAACTGCTATATCATTTAGAGTTTGCCTCAGGACAAAAGAGGTCCATTTATTTGGACCTACCTAGCAGGTCTATATCACTCTTAAAAGATTGCTTTGTCTTTCATGCGCTGCTATAATCCCTGATGTTTTCTGAGTGACCTTCTTCTAAAGTTTTCAAGTCCTCAAAAAGCTGATTCTAATGAAACTAAAATTTTAATTCCCATATGAATCAACAGTGTAAGCAGATGTGTGTTTGTTTGTATGTGTGTGTGTGCATGTGTTTGTGTGTGTGTGTGCATGTGCATGTGCATGTGCAGTTGTGTATTCTGTGCTGTCAAGTTGCATTCAATGTATGGTGACCCTCATAAGGTTTTCAAGGTTTGTGAGATATTTAAGGAGTGGATTTACCAATACCACCCATTAGTGTATTTCCATATATATGTGCTTTCAGAGAAGATTCTTGTGCTCCTAACTGGGCCCTGACACTCAAGGGAGGAAAAGAAATAACCACAGACACCTTATCTCAGGAAATGATGCCACAAACTCTATTGGTTGCACCAGCATGCTCTCTAGCACAGTGGTCCCCAACCTTGAGCCTCCAGATGTTCTTGGACTTCAGCTCCCAAAAATCCTGGCCAGCAGAGGTGGTGGTGAAGGCTTCTGGGAGTTGAAGTCCAAGAACATCTGGAGGCCCAAGGTTGGGGACCCTTGCTCTAGCAGATACATTGGGAATGATCTGGAGCACTGAGAGACCCTTGTGTCTAATACCACCCAAACAACCCAGCCATCAGCTGGGGCCAACCCAGGAATAACTGTCTTGTGAAAACCGCAAGGGTACATGACTATTCTGTAACTCCCTGTCACTAGAGGTCAAGGTTGGGTATCTGGTTCCCAAACTAAGTCTAATCATGCCTTCACCCCAGCTCCTTGAAGGAGATTCCAGGTCTATATTTTCTGTTCCAATACTGGATCCAGCTAAATGCCCACAACTCCCCCCAAAAGTTTTACATAGTAGTACAAATACAACTGGGCAACTTACACCACAGACCCCAAAAAGAAAATCACATGCAAATGTTAGTACACCCTATAAGGCAGGAGGGAAGATTAAAAAAAAAAAAACAAGAGTGTTGGCAGTTTGGCAAGTCTTTGTCCTTAAATGTGAAGCAGACAGAGTGGAGTGAAGCCTGTCCTGTCCCTAATGAAGTACTGACAAAGATCTTGGTTCATCCATGCTTCCAAAATTACAAAACCAAGCTTCAGTGCCAAACCAAAATCATCATACAGTACAGTATAGAATTTTACTATGCACTAGTTGCTTCTTTCAAGTATTAACAAATGGTGAATGGATAGAGGTATTTCTTTGCTGGTTGATGCACATGTGTTGAAAAGGTGCAGCTTCCTGATTACATCTAGCACAAATCACACCTCATAGTAATATCTTTCTCAGTTTTTGAGAGATATGCCTTGAAATGCGAGAGTGTCAATGGGTGTAGGCGTGTGGGAAGAGTCAGTGAGTAGTGGGTGTGAGGAAGGTTCTTTTAAATAATGAAAACAGTAATCCAGAACATTGCCTTACTGTGTCTATCATGACAGCTGTGTATTGTTTGTACAAATTATAAGTCTTCCCTGGAACCAGAATGTCTGCAAATATTTAATTTACATGACAGTCATCAGGGAGGAATCAAAACACATATGTTATGAAGCGTTATCTCAACCTGTACTTTGTTTTGATCTTTTGACAGGGATGATTTTGCCAAGAGAAGTTTCATTGTGCCTGTTTAAGGTAATGAACAGGTTTATATGGCAACTGTAATGGTAGAAGACACGAACAAAGTGCAGGGGATGAAGCCAAAGAAAAGACAATCTCAAATTTCCTTGTTATGGCCTCTTCTGGAAAACGCAAGATGGAAATTTGTGAAATTATAAAAATGAACACTTTACCCAACCTAAAACACTCTGCTATCTATACATACACAACTAATGCTGGAATCTTAAACTGTGAAATAGACAAGATATAAATCCAACAGTTCTAGTGACGCTGACCTTGGTATTTAAGGGTATAAGAATGGTATTAGTGTCTTTTTTGTGGGTTGTACAATGCCAACATTCCAATATTATCTGACGTAGAAATACTTTATATATATATGCTTTATATATGCTGACATACTTTTTCCCCACTGAGATGATATGATAATACAAAGCACTTTATTTCTATAGGATCAATAGATGAGATTTTTTTGAAGGAGTAGCTTAGACCAGCTTCTCTATATTCATGGCTTTCTGTCTTTTCAGGATTCTTTCTCTCAGAAGACAGAATGAAGAAATCAAAGAATTAATTGCTATCTTTCACATTCTACCAATATCACCTCTAACTGCTTTAGCTGCTTGATATGTTCTCCGACTGTTAAAGTGCAATACTTGAGTGATTCAAAAGTTTATTATCAGCCCTTAAAAAGTAATTTTCTGAGTGGTTAGCTAAGGATTTTGTTGAAAAGTCATGCTACTTCAGGGTGCATGCTCCCCCAAAACAATTAAGTCATTCTCTTTTATATTTTATTCACTGAAAATATTCTATGCATCAATTCTCGTCATAATTACCACTGTAAACAATAGGCATTTTGCTCCAGAGTGATTAGCTGCAATGCTATGCACATTTACATATCCAGTATGCAAAATTGTATGCTGTACTGATTTTGTGTCACTGATTTAAGAAAATAATGGTCATACATAATATATTTCTTGAATGTACCTGTATTCAGTCTGCACTGTCACTTTTATGGGTAACTAAAGAATATCATATCTGGGTAGCTAGCTCAAAGTAGAAAGAGTAGCAGGGCTGGGAGTTTGATTCCCCACTGTGCCTCTTGGGAAAAGAGGTAGCCTGTGCATCCTTGGGCAAAGTACATGGTCCTGAAGCATCAGCAGAAGGAAAGACTTGTAAATCTCTTTGAGTAATTTACACCTAGAAAACCCTACAATAAGTCACTGTAATTCAGAACTGACTTGAGAGCATATAATTATTATTAAAGATTACTACTAGCATGTATATAGGATACTAAAGATTCAACTAAAGTGTAATACATATTTGTAAACTGATCTATTTATCTATAGATATAGATATTTACTCTGAAATATAAAGGGGTTCAGCTGGTGTGTACCAGATTATTATGATTTCATAGTGTATCACATTCTCAGAAATAAGAGAAATGTAAAAATAAGCCTCCATCAAACCTAGAAGCTCTGAGATGCCTCCATATATACACCTTGGGATGGTCTGACAGCATGGCAAGGCAATATACTTAATGAAATAAGTGAGACAAGGACAATATTTCCTTAGTCACATGAAAGTAGGCTGTTCCAAGGGCTAAAGGCTTGCTGAAAGGTTAGGAAGAGACGTAATGAACACTGTTCCTCTCTTTTCTAGAGACTTCGAGCAAGTTCTTGTTTTGGGGGCAATATTACTAACAGCTTTGGAGATAAAAGTGATACTTAATACATTTAGGGTTAAAGGTGCTATGCAAAAGCTGAGTATAACTGATAAGCACAAGCTTTAAATCCATACCTTTTCATGAAACACTTAGAAATATTTTTAAGTCCTGCTGCAGTTCATGAGAATTAGTCTCATCTTATGCACAGCTACACAAAAGTATGTTCCCTGAATTCAGTGGGAGTTATTCTTAGTAACGAACAAAGGCAAGTATAAGGTTGCAGCCATCGTGTTAATGATACATATATATTGCTGAAGAGGGGTTGAATTAAGTATGTCTCCAAGCACTTTACTTTAGGGCCTAATTATAATGATCCATATTCACTGCTACTGTAACAACAATGACCTCTACAGATTTTCAGTTTTTTTTCTGCATAAAGGCACAGGTGCAGCTTTTCAATCTATATTTGTTGCCATTCACTGAATTCACTCAGACCAGGTATCAAGACATTGTATGCAACCATTTCCAAAGACAGCCTTACTTTGTAGTCTGGGGACTTGGCTTGATCCATTCAGAAAATACTGCTTTTGGAAAAAAAGCATAAATCCTGGGGTTTTCCTCAATGTCAACCTGTGCCCTACTTACAGAATGTTGCATTTACAGAAATGGGCGAGCGGTTGAGGCCATTTTCAGCAACGGAGGAACAAGATATTAATTTAGTTCACAGCAGTGTCAGTGTTAGGCAGAGGCCTTAAGGAGCATATCTTATGCCTCTCAAAAACTTATGAGGAAGAATGCTCTGTTTAGGAAATGTTTTTATGTTCTAGCATCAGTGGGGATCAGGCCCTGTATTTAAACATCACCTGACCCAATCAGTGGTAGCTGTTTGCTGTTTCCACATGTTCTGTCCTACTGTGACACTTTGGCAATTGTAGAGTCAATGGAGCCATACATCATGATCATTAATAAGAGACAAACAGCTGGGTCACATCAGGATAAATCTCGCAGCTGGCATAACCGAGGCTTAACTGTGTTACTCCCATAGCTTCTTCCCATGTTGTGGAAGACATGTGCTGTGTCTTACTGGCTGAAAAATCATAAGGCTATCTAAAAGACCGAAATCATCCATGGCCTGTTTTATTTGATCAAGCTGCATTTTTTAAAGTTCCGGGCTTAATTTAATGGGAAATCTTTATACATGATAAATGAAAATAGATGTTATATGACTATTTTAAACTCTCATGATAGATGCTTCCATCATGCAGAAAGTACATTACTTGCTGTGCCATATCATCTGGTCTAATCTGGATCTCTAGCTCTTGTCAGTGAAAAAATAGGAGTGAAACATACATGTTTAGAGCTGGGAAACACCAAGGCTGAACATACCCTGATGCAGGTTGCACTTGTTTCATCTTCCCATTTTGCTCTCTAGATTCCATTATACAGGAACATAAATAGAAATGTTCCTCGGGAGTCTTCCAACCTCAGTAGCCATAGAAACCAGCTATTTCTGTCTATTTTACATGATATCAATAAATGACTTTTTCTGTATTGCAATAGACAGGTCAATTCAGCTTTCTGCTAACTGGATATCCTCAATAAGCCATGCATACCTATTGCTTAATACTGTACATCAAAGAGGAAAAAAACATGCTTATATATATAGGCATGCTGTGAAATCTGCTACTTAGATGATTCATGCTATTAAATATCCTTCAAGGAGAATAAATATTTGGCGGAATTTTTCAAACAGACTCTTTATAGTATTGATTATAAAAAATAAATCTCTGGGACAAAGTGGTGGTAGCCATCATTTTGGATATTCACATTCTCTTCTTTGCTAAGTTGATACCTTTTAAAAGATAACATCACACTGTGCTTTTTTAAGATTCAGTGTAAAAAGACTTTGAGAAAACACTTGTAACAACAGAGAAAACTAGTCAACAGTAGTATTATTGCTTTATGGAAATGTATTTGTTAACAAAAGTTTTTTATAGATGACAAATATTTATGTGGTCAATAACAAGTGCACTTTACAAAGGAAAATATAACTAGGATTCTTCTGCTAGATGGTTCAAGCCATTTGTATCTTATACAGGATGTTTAGGTTCGTAGCTCTGTAATGTGAAAGGGATGATATATCTATAGTATCTATGTGGTACCCTAACTTGTAGGGCTGGAAGCACTGTAATGTAGGTATCAGCTGTTTATTGGATCCTTATATAGTGCAGTTTCTTTTGTCAAAACAGTTATCCAAAATCTCTGGTTATCCCATTTCACTATATACTTCCCTTCAGCTCAAGAAGTTTTGTATCCCTTTATAAACTCATTCATGTAACACTGGCATTTATACATTTCATGGTATCTCTTGTAAACATATTTCTGTGACCTTCTAATTATCTGAACGCTTTGAACCACTCCAAGATATCCCATTTCAACAAACAAGCTGGTAATGTATGGTACTATACATCTGGATGATTATCAGAAAGGCTGTGAAACAGTGTACAGTATATCCTTCAAATCCTATGAGACCGATTGATTTGTATAAAAAATATTTGTGAGCAAATGGTGCTAAATAAATGAATATTTGAGAATTATATGTGATTCTACTATGGAAACAAATATAAAGTGGAGTTTCTCTGAGCCTTGCTGAGTGTTACTGAAATCACTTTTTTCAAACTGAATACTGTAAAAGATTTATAGAGGCTGAAACGGTAGCTGAGGTGAAGTATAGGAACTCCATGACTTTTATCACTGATGCCAGCCCGCTGAGAATGCTCTACAGCTGGTGCTTCTCAGAGCTGACTGAACAAAATGTCTTATGGTCAGATCACGAAAGGTCTGCAGTTGATTTTCTTTCAGCACTTAGCAGGTATCTTTGGGTTGCAAGTACATGAAGCCCAAAGATGTCTGCTGTAACAAGTCGGTTTACAAGGTTGTATTGTAAATTATAAATGCCTATCATGTCTGTATCTTCGACTTAATTACTTGCCTATTGATTGGTCTCCTGGCTGATTAATTCCCTCTTCTGCCTGATGCCAGTTTTGGAACCACTTGAATTGTTTGACTTCAGATTCTCTTTCTTTCTTTTTTGAAATTGAAATCAGCACTTTCTTGAGCTAACTATGAAAGCATGCTTAGAAGACCCAATATATTAACTGCTGTAATAAACAGAGTTTATTATTGCATCTCATTGCAGTCTATGAATTTTATCAGCTCCCTTGATGATGATGCTTTGCTCACCGCTGTAACCAATGAGCTAGTATATCAGCTACACCCCAACCCTGAACAACTGCATATTTGAATAAGGAAAGACACACTTTTTGTCTATGATCAGAAATAATATGTAATAAGGTGAAAGGGAAGCTAAATGAAGTCATGGTGGCAAAAATCTAGCCATCTGCCTTCTTATTGTTTTGCCTTAGAAGAACTATTTATTTATTTATTTATTTGTTTGTTTATTCATTCATTCATTCATTCATTCATTCATTCCATTTATACCCTGCCTATCTGGTCATTGCGACCACTCTAGGCGGCTTACAACACAAAATATAAAACTATATATAAAACATAGTTTACACAATTAGAAAATTTTTTCCAAGATGGAAAGAAAGACAAAATAAATCATAACAAAAAAGGGGGAGGAAAATTAGGAATTAACTGGGGGGAGGGGAGGCCTGCCTAAACATCCATGTTTTCAGTTGTTTCATAAAAATACCCAGCGAGGGAGCCGCGCAAATCTCCGGAGGCAAGTTGTTCCAGAGGCGAGGAGCCACTGCCGAGAAGGCCCGGTTTCTTGTTTTTCCTTCCGGACCTCCCTTGGCATCAGGCTCCTCAGCCTCACCTCCTGACTCGCACGAGTGACACGGGTAGAACTGGGTGGGAGTAAGCGTTCCGCCAAGTATCGAGGCCCTAAACCGTTTAGGGCTTTAAACGTAAGCATCAGAACTCTGAAGTCAATGAGGAACCGAACTACTCGGAAATAGTAAAGTCATGCCTCTGCTCCACACAGTTTTCAGATATTTTGATTCAAACTTTTACCACCACTTATTTATACAACCCAGGACAACAGAGGTGGCTTATGGTATTTGAGAGTCTGAGATAGAAAACCTAAAGAATGCTCTCCATGGTAATGAACTACACAAAAGATAATTTGCTATATTATAATTTTTAAGTCAGACTATTAATTATCTGTGGGAGAGTTCTATTAGGAGGTCCCTTTGTTTGCAGACTGAGGCTACAGTAATATTCCCTGTAGGCATTTAAACCCACTTCGTTTATCTGTTCCTTGAAGCAATAAACCAGAGAGAGGCTGAGCTTAAAATCAAGTACGTACTTAGATTTAATTTTAAAAATGTATTTGATAGGAAAGTTTATCCTAAACCAGATATCTGACCCTGTGCCATGGAGGAGTATATAGTGGGAATGAGGCACAACTCAACCTCAAAGAATTGTTAACAGCTTGAAGGCAAGAGATCAGGGAATGGTAAATCTTTCTTTCTAGGCAATGAGTGGAGAAGAGACAG